TTAAATGAAGTATCTGTGATGAACTGTACAACAATCTTGTGCTATGGGCACTGCCATTGATACAGGCTACACTGCCTATACAGGCTATGAATGCAGACGTGTGATAAAGGCCTATAACGGACAGCCTTGCACCCTCAACAGAACAGCCTGCAAAGCGGAGCGCAGCTGAAAAAAAGAAGAAGATAGTGGTAGGATAGTGTTTCTACATACTGAAAAAAAGATATAGAAAAAGTATTTTAGAAGGGAAAAAAAACGACTATCGACCATTGATTTTTTTCTTTCTTTTTCTTTTGGCTAAATTAACAAGAAATAAAGAATCACGGCTTTCTCAAAATTCTGGCATTGATAACAACTAGCACATTAAAATCAACTGTGGACGGTAGATCTTGTTTAGTGACCAAACTCTGGAACACTTTCATAGCTTCATAGTGTTGTTTGGGAGGCAGACACAATCTTTAATCATGTTATTTTAAGAACTCCATTGTTTAATGTTATCTTACATCAAATCTGGTAAAGCTACAATGATCTGATCTCTAGTCTCAGAATTCCTTTGCTGACACACAGAAATGAGTACCTCTGCTCTGTCCACAAGGGGGAAACAAAGCTTTCCATGTTGTATCGCCTCAACCGCAACAGGCAGGCCTAATCTTAATCTGATTTGAATCAAATTAATCTTAAATATAAGTATTATTTTTTTCATTGTTTGTAGATCAAATGAAGTAAGTCCTATTTTATTGACATGAATTGTGGACATTTTTGAGCTTCTTGACAAGTTGGTTTGCCTTTCAACTTTGGAGTTTCAACCGGGTTAGGCCCTGTAGGCCTGGGCCTTCAACATACACTTGAGTTTGAACGTTTGAACGCCTCCCAAACAAACTATAACTGCACCTCCTGATGATGATTCAGTGGTCACAATGAGTACACTTTCTCAATTAACGGAACAGCAGAGAGAATTTTACAGAGAGATGCTTCATCAACAACAAGACAACTTCAAAAGTTTTGTTCAGTTGATAGTAGATGGAACAAACAAAAGTAAAAAGTAAAAGCCACTTACAGCCCTGGACTGGATTGGAAGTTATCTTTCTAATAGAAAACAGAATGTTTTATAATGGATCTTTTTCAGACGCTAAAAATACTTATTGTGGTGTTCCACAGGGTAGTTGTTTAGGACCATTATTGTTTTCTATTTTCATAAATGATTTACCATATGTTGTTGATAATGCTAATATAGTTATGTATGCAGATGATTCTACAATGTTTTCTGCAGCACATACACCAGCTGAGCTTCAGAAAAACTCAAGTGATGAGCTGCAAACAATTACTAAGTGGGTTCGAATTAATAGATTCATTTTAAATATAGAAAAAACTAAATGTATAATTTTTAGTCATAATAATAATATTACTAAGGCTGTTGACTTGAATTTATTTATTGATGGGATGCCAGTGGAACAAGTAACAAATGTTAAGTTGTTGGATGTGAAACTTTACAATACGCTGTCCTGGTGTAACAGAGGCCAGCAAGAAGGTGCTGTGCACGTAAACCTCACTCCCCTGATCTCAAGAGGTGC